AAAAAAAAAAAAAACCTAAAAATGCATAATTTTGGAGATGCTTTTCCCAATCCAGCATTACACAGTACAGTGGAGCCTTCCTGTTGTTCATCCCCTGGAGTCTACACCACAGGACCACTAGGTTAAACCACTTCAATCACTGAGGCCTTCAGGTATTTGAAATAAGTCAGTCCTTGGGCATATAACCCAAGACTAATGATGGTCTGTCTCTGGAGAGTGGGGGCAGGTCTGCAGCATGGACTCATCAAGTATTCATAATGAACAAGTATTTAACAAAGCAGCACATCAGAAGCGTTTACCTGGAACCTTACCTGTCTGCAGAGGCTCGTGAGTTACAGTGGACATGTTAAGGCAGCTGCTAAAATGTGTAATTTAACCTTCATGTTCCAGCTATTACGTTAGATTCTTTCCGTTGTTCTTTGGAACAGTATTGAATGCCTGCTTATTAGGAACAAGTGATCTTGAGATGCTTTTACTTCATGCCAGAGAGTAAATTTAATAACCCAGGGGGAAAGAAGTTTATATTATTGGGTTTTGCTTCAGCCAATTGAATTTCTAGGGATGAGAACACTGTCCTCAGTTTATAGTTCATTAAATTGCATTGAATCCACTAACACACACCCATAACTGCTTCACTGTTTACAGATGCTCCTCTGTTTACAGATGCTTCAGGCTCTGAACCCTGAAATACAAATTGTTCTTTGGTGCTTGGGACATATGTTCCAATAGAAACATGATTAACAAAAGGTTCCCAAGTCCCAGACTTATAAATGTTTTTTTAACCAAGTTAAAGGCAGGCAAAAATGCCATTTATTTGCAGTGAAAATCAGTATCAACTTTTACAGCACCAGACATTCAACAAGATTGAATAAGGGATTGTTTTTGCTTTCACTTGGATGCTGTTATTTGAGAAAAACGAAATAGTGGCTTGTGCAGCTTAGGCATTAGAGTCTGACAGACCACGTTCAAATCCTCCCTGGCCGTGGGCTGTGCGCCGCAGGCAGCTGGTCAGCGTCTGTCCAGTTTCCCCATCTGTAGGGAGGAGGTTGCTGATGGCACCCGCCTGGCAGGCTACTGCGGCAGTCAGGCAGCCTGGGCTGCACCCGGTTGGTGCTCGGTTGACGGGATGCCTCGCTGCAGCTGTGGCCACACTTCTGCACGTCTCAGGGAGGCTGCTCCTGCCTTCAGCCTTCTCAGACCTTCCTGCTTCTCACGTGGGAAGCAGGGACCTGGCCTCGTCCTTTACGGAGAGAACAGCAGCCGTGACACAGGTCGCCCCTGCCGCATCTCTGCTGTTGCCTCCCATCTGGCTGGGGCCGGAGACCTTGCTCTGATGAAAGCCAGTCGCAGCTGGCGCTCTGCGCCCCATACTGCCACCTCCGTGATGTCCCACATGCTGGGTCCTTCCCAAGGGCTTTGACCGCAGCCTCTCACATAGTCCTTGCGACAGCCCACAACCCTGCGGTGATGAGTGGTGGTGAGTGGTGGGGGCATCTCTGCCTGACTCTGACACTCGTCCCGTCACTGCAGTTTGCATCCTGTAAGGGTTCCCCTGTGGCCAAGGGTGTGGCCTCATATGTCCACTTTGCCCAGCTCAGCCTGCTTTACA